ACGTGTTTCTGTTTAGCTCATCATTCAAGCCACAAACACTCTTGATGATGAGAATGATGACATTACGTGTGCCCAACACGACAGAGCGGTGTCACTGCAACCACATCATCCTGAAAGAGGGACCCAACTCTGCACAGCAATGTGCCTGCCATGGAAGCATTTGTCTGTTATCTGCTTGAGCGTACAGCAAATGCTAAAGATTGGGGGAAAACTTCACATTTTTAAAAATATTCTACTTACTTGTTTTCTGAAAATTTCGGAAAGGCCACACCAGTCCAAATTACAAATCAGTCCATTTATCATAATCTGAAGCGGATAAGGAAATCTGATCCCCCCCGCCGGCCACCTTCTCAGGTAGGGACACGGTGATCTTTATACCACACACAACGGGTGAGTGTTTCTGGCAAAGGGGTCTCAGGCACACAAGGTTCTACCATTGCCCTTTGTGGCCTTCTGGAAATCCATGGTTTGCGGCCCTGGGAGATCCTGGGGCTCTGCTGCTCGGCTGGGTGCAGCCAGGAGGGAGGCAGCAGGGAAGGAGCAGGGCAGTAAAGGGAGAACAAATGGGCCTCAGTGATTGATCCCAGGCCCCAGAGCAGAGGGAGGAGGCAGCCCCCGGAATAGGGACAGAGGTGCTGGGACGAAGGAAAGAGTGCAGTTTGGGATGCACTGAGAACATGCGAGCAAAACAAACAGGAAGCACTGGACAGGAGGGTTATGGTCATTAGAGAGAGGAACCAGGCCCAGGCCCATGGTGGAGGTGAGGGCGTGAGGGCACCTAATGAGAAGAGGTCACACACACCGATCACAGCGTCAGGCTCCCAGAGAAGGGGATCAGCCAGCACCTAGGAAGGCAGAGGGTGCCAGGCCCTACGCTGCCTGTTACAGCAGTAGGCTCTCAGCCTCGGTTCCTCATCTGAAAAATGGGATAATGATGGTGCCTCTGTCATAGGGTGGCAGTGAGGACAAGATGAGGGGCAGCGCCGAGGAGCTCGGTCCAGGGCCTGTCACATGTCACCCTCAGGCCAACACGCACCTCAGAACCTGTCACCGGACAGAGGAAAGGCAAACCCCAACAAATGGCCCAGAAAATGGGTGAAACCCAGACACGAGCACCCAACCAAGCAGAGAGGGAAAGAAGGACCTAGCTGAGTGGTGATCATCGGAACAGATGTGACATACAAGCTGCTCCTTCATTAAGAACACACATCTAGTTAGCTCCTCCTGTGAGCAGGTCTCGTGCTAGTGTTGAGGACAAGCGACGGACAAGCTGCCAGGGATGTATAAGACAGAGGCACGTCCTGACTCAGGAAAATAGCATGGAGGAGCATCTGAAGACGCTGTGTGCCCTGATGTTTGACCTGAGGACAGGCACCCACTTCCAGCCAGGTGAGAGGAGACATTTGGAACTGACCGATGAAAAAGCCATGGAGCTGGGGGAAGTGGCGAGCTCTGGCCTGGCCACCAGGTCGCTGACATGGGCTGTAGCTGGGGCTGCAGGCACACTGTCTTCCCCCCACAGGCACAGTACTAACACGGAGAAAACCAGCAGGCCCCGACATTCGTAGCCGACCTCTGCGCTTGCCCCGCTTTGTCCACCCCGGTCACTATGTCCTCACTCCTCCTACCCACTGGACCCCCTTCCTCCCTCCCCGAATGGCCTGTGCTCAAAGGACACCAGCGTCCTGTATACTCAGCAGCTCCCACAAACACTGACCCCCAGAGGAGCAGAGAGAGAGAGATGGAGTTAGGCCTACTCTTGAATCTTCCAAGACACAGGCATATCAACTATGACACATTTTCCTGTTGACTTTCAACCCTCAGGTGAAGATATGTGAAAGCCAAGGGGAAGAGGACACAACTCTCTTAATCAAGACCTTTATCGTGCTCAGTAAAACAGGACAGGCTGTGCACTAGGGGGCACCCAGCACGCCGCCTCAGGGACGCACCGCCCTGGAGCAGTCAGATCTGGCGGTGCACTGGGGAGTAAAAGCTGCTCCCAGAACGTTCTACCGCCTTCCTTGCCACTTACTCTCTGGAGCATATTTCCCCAGCAGATGGCTCAGTAGAACCTCTATGCAGAGTGTTCTGTTCTGTCCAAGAAGAGCACAGGCCTTCCACTAAAACCACTGCTGTGCATTAAGAAGGGAAAGCAAACCTCCTGAGTGGAAGGCCTCCAGGTCTATGGCAACCTATAAGCATGGCGCACATTGGCATCAGCAGACGCCAAGAGCCACTGTGGGCTCCCGCGGGAGTTGGCAACGTACGGCTCATCATGGCTTCAGGTGCCAGGACTAGAAAAGGCTGTTTGGATGACTCACATGTTTGTGAAGCTGGGGAAAGCGACATGTACTCACGTACCTGTCTGAGAAACAAGCTAGACAAGACTTCAATGTGGGTAAGTCATCTGGGTGCCCAAAGACAGGGGTTTGATTACACGCCCATCATGGGGTGGGGAGCTCCTTCTGCCATGGGTCACCTGCTCCTAGTCAGAAGAACCATGCATGTTTAGGCTGAAAGCAAGAGGCCTGGAAACACGCTGAAGGCTTTTAACAATGAAGAGGGAAAAGAAATACATGTATATCTTTTGTGATCAGAAATAAAAAAAACCTCCTGAATATCACAACTCTTTCAAAGGACAAATTCCCATGATGCTGAACCCTGAGAACCAGTTGCTCCAGAGCTTCCAAACCCCCAACAAGTCTCCCTTAGGAAACCTTGGGGAGAGCAAAAAAAAACCACCAAAAAAACCCCTCAGGTCCACCGACTTTACCCTGATAAAGAACAGTGAGTGGGCCCTGGGGTCAGCGAGCCTGAGCACAAAGTCCCACTCCTCATGTTGTGCATGTCTGAACCTCGAGGACCCAACACAGGGGCCGGGCACTCTGTCTTCTCTGCTTGATGCTATGGGGGACCCGCAGGGACCCATTAGTATGCCTGGCCCTTAGAGCACACGGATCCTTGCTGGCAGACAGCCCTCCACTGGACCAGACATCTCCACCATCTCAGGCGGTCTCCACATTTTACTCAATACTGGCCCCACTTCAGTTAGCATGTCATAGGAAGTGTGGCAATGCATTGCTATTTGACAGAGGGGACAGGAGGCAGGTCCTATCTCTCCAGCTAGTGGCTCTGTATTCCCGGAATGCTCACTGCACCCAGCTGAAGTGCATGATGGTGAGGCTGCGCTGACCCTCAGAAGCACAAATCTATGTCCCAGGGAAACAGTGCTGCCCCTGGTGAAGCCCAACCCCTCACACACTCTTCTCATGCTCTTCCGAACACACACCACTAGCCGCCCAGGAGCAGAGCTCCAGGAAGCAATACTACCACTGGTAAAGCAACTCAACCACCACCGTCTGGGTCAGGAAGGACACTTCTGATGGGTGTTTCCAAGTGCCCATTAAGGTGACAATGGCTGGTGAAGGGGCCTGCTAAAGCGCCAACAGAGGCCCTCACTCTCACACCCCTGGAGGGCCTCACACTTTTCCTCCCTCACCTAAAAACCAACCCGGGACTCCTCCTTTCTTGCCCTTCCAGATGTCTCCTCTGAGCTAGTGCTGAGAGTGTGTGCTTCCGGAGGTGGCACAGTGTGTATCTGGCACAGCTGCCCACTGCTGAAGCTGTTACAGCAGGAAGCACATTCAGCCAGTCCAGGTAATCCAACAACCTTGACAAATCCTAAAACAAAAGGGTCGGAAAAAAGCAGCGTCCACATTCTCAGTTGCCCACAAGCAAGCAATTTAGCAAATAGCAAACGCTCAGAGCAGTCAGACGGGACTGACAAGAGCCCAAAAAACAAAGCAACAAAGGATGTGGAGAGCGAGGACTTGAAGCAAAATTAGTTAGACAAGACAGAACTTCCAGAAGCACAAAAGGCCCTTGGAGAGACTAGACGCTGACATGCTATAGGCAGAGTCCCTGGTTCGCCTAAGGAAACACCCTGTGTAGCCTGGGACAAAGTCCCTGTTGCAGAGGGGAATTGGCCACACTGCTTTACTGGCCAAGATAGCTACGTTGTTTATATTAAATATATAAATTAAGAAGCACTCAGACTAGTGCTGGTGATGTGTATTTGCAGTGTATTTTAGCCATGCAACCAGACATTTTTAAAGAACGTTTAATAACGTCATGAATGGGGCATTTTCTTCCAGCACAAGTTGTCGAATCCCTGAGCACTGGGTAAATACCTGAGGGGTACAGCCTGCCTTGGAGGGACCCCTCATCTGTGCACACACTCCACAAGGTTGTGAGAAAACCCTGGCCACACCTTGTCACCGGTTTTCCACCTAGACAGTACAGAACCTCGGCTGCCATGAGACCTCCACTGGTGGATGGATGTCCCGTCCCCCTCCCTCCTCCCAGGTATATCCTTCCTCCAGCTCCTGAACAACCCTTTCTTCACGCACCTAGTCTGTCAATTGTCACCAAGCTGGTCTGATTGACCCTGTGATGAAAGCCCTTCTCCAGGAGGCTCCCAGCAAAATCTCAGCCTCCCATTAAGCTGTTACCCTCTAAAATGGCCTCAAACCGATACTTTAAGTGCCAAGCTGATTCTAAACTCAGGATCCAGCTGCTTTCTCCCAGCCTCGGGCCTCCATTAGAGTTGAAATGGTGAGAAAGAAAACAGATTGCAAATTGCCACGGGCTTGCTTCCTGCCAGGCAGCGTTAGGCTTTAGCTACAGTGAAGAGATGAAGAAAGGCAAGGCGCTGATCCTTGGCTCCTAATTGCAGTGTAACCTGCGAGGGCAAATGGCTGGCTGGCGCCGTTCTCATTACAGACACGATGTGACAGGAGGTGGCAGATCAGGCCCACCGGGGAAGGCGCCTCCCAGGCCAGCTAACTGAGGGAGCTGCGTGGTGCTCACGCCGCCTCCGAGCAGCCCTGGGCCCAGTAGGGCGAGCCTTGCCGCCGCGCGCCCTGAGCCCTTCCCAGGAGGGGACGGGAGGAGGGGGGGGGCGGCACCCCGAGGGCGGGCCGGCGATGGGGCCTCCTTACCGTTGCTGTAGGCGTACGGCGGGGACTCGGCCGCCCCGTCCTGCAGGCTCTCCAGGATCTCGCCCTTGCCCACGTCGCTGTCGCCCACCAACAGGAACTTGAGCAGGTAGTCGTAGCTCTTGACTGGGCTGCCCTGCGTCCCCATCCTCGCTCACGCGCGCGCAGGCCGCGCCCGCATGCCTACGGCGCCGGCCGCGGGTGCACGGCGGGGAGGAGGCCTCCGACCGACCTGCGGGGACGGAGCTCGGGTGAGGGGGGCCGACAAGGCCCGGTCAGCGAGGGCCCGACCGACCCCGACTGCCGCCACGACAGCTCGGGACGCAGCGCCCAAGTGCGACCGCCCCCCGCACCTGTTCCGCCGTCTGTCTCACCTCAGTGCTGCCGCCGTACAGCCGCTTCCCTCACGGCCCCGCGCAGCACCGCTGCCACGCCCCGCCCCGCCCCCAGGCCGCGCGCCGCCATTGGCTACCTGCCGCCGACCTGCCCCGGCCCATTGGCCCGCGCACACGTCCTTCACGACAGCCTGCCCCCACCGTTTCCCACACAGCGCAGCTAGGCCTCCGGTCGCCCCGCCCTATCCCACCTCCCCCCAGTCACCATTGGCCACCCATCGCTCCTTTCCTGAGATCATTGGTCCGAGTGCACATCCATCATGACTACCCACACAGAGTTGCGGAGATTCCGACAGCCTCGCTTCGTCGATGTCGGCATTGGCCACTCACCTCCCGCTTTCACGGAACCACTGGTCCGTCTGCACGTCAGTCAGCACCAGTACCTTTCCGCAGAGCATCCCGTCACCCGCAACCCCGCCCACTGCCCCAACACACCTCGGGCCCTCGCCCGCCCCCTCCCCATCGCCATTGGCCACCGCTGCCGATTCTCCCAAGCCACTGGGCCACCAGCACGTCGATCACACCCCTCTTAGCCCACATTGTGCTTTCCGCCCCCTTCCCTACACGCTCACTAATCGGGAACTTGGAACTCCAGGTTGTTTGCATACGCCCCTTCCTTCCCGCGGACGGGAGTAGGATGGTGGCGGTCCCCGGGGTGACGTGACGCGTCTGAGTCCAGGAGGACTAACCCGCCCCTAGTAAGCTGCGGCCGCTACTTCCGCAGAGACCCCAGATAGCGCAGCGTATCCCCAGGAATTGCGATCTCGGAAGTCGCCCTCCCCGCGGTGGGGGCGTGGCCCGGGCGTGGCGGAGCGAAGGTGACCAATCGGCGCTGGGGAGCCCGAGGAGGCGGGACTTCCGCTGCTAGCGGGGCGAGACCGAGGGGTAGTGACTGGGCTGGGGGCGTGGGCTCGGCAGCTCTGATAGTGTTCCGGGAGATAGCCGGGGATGCGGGTCACGGAGTCTGCCCTTCGCCCTGGGCAAGGCCGTAGGTCACAGTGCGTGGCTGTGAAGGCCTAAAGTTCTGGAACTTCGGCGACTACGTGGGCGGGTGACTAACTCTTCATCTGTCAAAGGTGATGGTAGCACAGCCTCGAGCCGCGGAGTGACAGGACCTGCCCACAGGGGCTCGAGGCTGAGCCTACTTGCTCAGCCGAGTCCGGTCAGGCCAGGTGGAGACTCAGGAGGGCCCACGACGTGGGTCAGGACGTAGGGCTCTGAGGCTTGACCAGGAGGCTTCCTGAAGGAAGTGACCTAGGGGTTGTTTACAGGATAGGTGGGTAATTTTTCTTAAAGGGCAAAGAAGTATGAAAACCCTCTGAACACGTGTGAAGATGTGAAGTTTCAGTATGCGAAATGGAAATTAAAGCAAAATAACACCCCTTTTACCCATCAGATTGGCAGCATCACTTGCAGGCCAGGATGTGGGGAACAGCCCTCAGGGACGGAGGTTGGACAGGCTAATGATTCTGATTCCACTTAGGATTTATCATGGAGAAATTTGGAAAGGAGCTCAAGAAATTTCACTGCAGCGTTGCAATGGTGGTTGAAAGTCAAGAAACCATCTAGCGTCCCCTGACAGGGAGCTGTTAAATCAACCAGGTGACCAACATAAGGTGCAGACAGCACTGATGTGAGAAGAAATCAAATGACAGTACAGTATGCCCAGTGTCATTTCAACATTTACGCTTCAAACTAACAAATGATTTCATTCTAGATTTACATATAGAGAAACGGGATGCTTGTGTAGAATAAGGTTTGGAGGGATGCTCACCAAAGGACAGCATTGTTTTCCTCTGGGGTTGGGGATCAAGAGTGACTTTCTCTTCATTGATGACATTGTTTTTTTTTTAATTGGGGAACAGTGTGTTTTTCCAGGACCCATCAACTCCAAGTAAAGTAGTTGTTTCGATCTAGTTGTGGAGGGCATTTTTCCAGGACCCATCAGCTCCAAGTAGTTATTTTAGTCTAGTTGTGGAGGGTGCAACTCAGTGGCCCATGTGGGAATCAAACTGGTAACCTTGGTGTTATGAGCCTGCGCTCTAACCACCTGAGCTAACCAGCCACCCCCATTGATGACATTTTTAATAAGAATATATTCACATATGACATGTAACTTACAAGTAACTCAAAAAGTTAAGCAAAAAAGTACCACACAACGCAATTCCGCTGCTAGAGAAATGAAAACATAACGTCCACAGGAAAAACTTGTACGTGAATGTTCACAGAAGCATTATTCACAATCACCAACAGGTGGAAACAACCCAAACACCCATCAGTAGGTCAATGGATAAACAAAATGTGGTACATCCACACAATGTCTATATGCATCCATAAAAAGGAATAAAGTACTAATAAATAGTGCTACATTCGCTTTATAAGAAATGTCCAGAATAGGCAAAACCATAGCCAGTAGATTAGTGGTCGCCAGTGCCTGGAGTAGGGGAAAATGGTGAGTGACTGCTTAAGGGGTACAGATTTCTTTCTGGGGTGATAAAAATGTTCTGAAACTGGCGATGGTCACACTACTTGGTGAAGTTATTACAAATCATTCAATTGTGCACTCAAAATGGGTGAACTTTATAATATGTAAAATATGCCTCAATAAAGCTGTTAAAAAAATGATGTATCAGAAAAATAAGTTGTCAGAATGGAGCCAAGCGCAGCCCTTACTAGACCAGGCGCAGAGCGGTGTGCGCAAGGGAGAAGACACACGAGAGTTAGGGCTCCCTGAAAAGCAGATCTGTGCCAAGGGAGCATGTCATCACAGCAACCACACCCCCGTGTGCTGCTCTGAGGACAGCTTGGCTGGCACATCTGTCCAGCAGGCGAGGAACGGTTGACAAGAACTTTCCTCCCAAGGGGTCACTGCATGTGCACCATGCCTTCAACAACAGGTGGTCTTACAGAGAGCAGAGCCCTGGATGGGCAGCACACCAAGTGACCCGCCCCCAAAGCTGCAGACAGCCTTTACTGGGGTGGCAGCGAGCCACGCGCACACTGCCTTTTTCATTGTGGCTGGTGCCTGGGGGGGTGCTTCCTAAGGAGCTGGTCCCTCTGTTGGCAGGCAGCACCTGGTAAGTGCCTGGGCCTTCCTCACCTGCCTTCAGTGAGAGCCTCTCCAGGTGTCCTCCTGGCTCTCTGGGGAAGCAGAAGGCTGGGACACTCGCGGGCAGAGGCTAACCAGGTATGGGCAGGGCCACTAGGAACCCCTAGGAACCCCGAAGTTCCTGCTTGTGCATTTCCTCGGAGCATGTCCTCCCCAGGGGAGTGGCTGTTCCCTGGACTCTGGGTTACAGCAGACATGGCCTCTGATGTTTACAGAAAGGGTCCATCCACCCACAACACAAGGAAGGGTGCTTGGGAGTCAGTCTCAAGGGCTGCTGAGTGCAGCCTGGGAGGGGTCCCTCCACCTACCTCATGGCAGGGTGGGACCACTGTGGAGCAGCCAGGGCGACCTGCGAGCTCACCCCACTGGGAAAGGGCATGGTGAGCAGAGGTTAAGCTCTGAAAACCCTCCCTGGGCAGGGTCTGAGCCCGAGTGGGGGCAGGAGGGGCTCCTTGGCAGGCTTGGGGGGCTGGTGGGCATCAGGCTAATAGTGCTATCACAACAGATCAGAGGTGGATCCTTAGGCAAACGGTGTATGATGGAGCGCAGACCGGCTGACCTGCTGGCCGCCCGCCCCTACATCCTCCTGCTCACCACCCCCATGACCTTGACTTTAACCTTGGAGTCAGGAGATGTGACAGGCAGGGCCCAGCAGGACCTGTGGAGGCCCCAGTCGACTGGGGACAAGGAAGACAGAGGGCAGGGCCATGTGCTGCCCGACAGTCAGTGCCACCCTGGCAAGGTGGAGGGCTGACCGTGGCCGTGCGATGGTGCTGGGCAGGCTGGTGATCATGGTCCCTCAGTCCTGCTTGTCCCCTCTCTGCCTCCAAGGGTAGATGAGCTCCCCGAAGAACAGCTTGCGACAAAGGGAGCTCCAGGAGTGCTTGGGGTGGCAGCCACAGCTGGGGAGGCGGTAAATGTGCACCACACGTCCGTAGGGCAGGGGATTTATCTGGAAGCACAGGGTGGGTGGTGAGCCTGGGCACGGCCCCCAACTCCCTAGGGCTCAAGCTCTTTGAGCCAGGCAAGCCTTCATGGGTGGGCGGGTCCCTGGGCTTGACAATTTTGTGGGGTGGAGCCAGCTCCGTGCCAGATGTGCTCTGGCCTGTGGTCCACGGGGCAGGCTGAGCTCTGGAGGGAATGCTCTTCTCTGGGCAGGCTACAGGGAGGTAGGCTGGGTTGGTAGGGTGCAGCCCCCTCCACTCCAGGACTCATGTAGCTCCCAGCAGTCACCTCAGGTGGCACTCAAAACACACTGCACATTGAGAAAGCCACACAGGGCCCCGGCTACCTCAGCATCTCACCTCTCCCAGCGATCCTTAGGCCAACCCTGCCTGCCTGGAGCCAACACTGGCACCTAGTGAGACACCTAGTGGGTCACCTGGCAAGTAACCTGTCCCCTCCTGCAGGCCGGGGGCCTCAAGGCTGTTTCAGATAAAGGAGCCCAACAGAGAACCACGGGTCCCCAGGCCTTCGCCAAACCTGTGCTGTTCTTCCTAGAACGAGAGCTCGTGGGACCCAGGGCGGTAGACAGGAATGCAGGGCCAAGCAGGCAGGAGCCCGAGGCAGCCAAAGGCATCTGACACAGTGCAGGGAGCCTGTCCACGGGCCCTGCTGGGGAAGTCTGACACAGTGCAGGGAGCCTGTCCACGGGCCCTGCAGGGCAGAGACCGTCATGGTGCCCAGAGGCCTTGGGGGTCGGGGAGTCTACCCTGGGCCCCGCCCCTCAGCCATGCTGGGCTCTCCTGCCTGCACCTGACCCTGGGCCTGTGATGCCCCACACACAGGACAGCACAGGGGGGCCTGATCCCAGCTGCCCTGGAACATGGGCAGCATCATGGCGGGCAGGGGGTCTGTCTACGGGCAGCAGTGTGAGGGGTTCACAGCAGCCTTACCTGCATCAGGAGGCGGAGGGGCCTGCCAGCCTCGTGCTCCAGGACTCGGAACTTCACGCCAGCTGCAAGGACAGCAAGGTGTCCAGGAAGGGGGGCAGTGGCCCTCCAGGGCTCCCAGGGCCCATCAGCCCCCTGCTGTGTGTGTCAGCAGAGGCAGGTGCGCACAGAGCGGCTCTGGAGGTGAAGGGCCGTTCATCTCTGGGCAGCATTCAGAGGGCTGCCTGGGCTCTTCCGCCCCTTCTGTCCTCCCCATCAGCCTCTTTGAGCGGGCTGCTAGGCCACTATCAAAGCCTCCTGCCACTCCAATGAATGGAAAAAGCCGAGTGTCTGGCCAGCAGGGAAGAGGGCTGGGCGGTGGGGTGCAGCCTCTGCTGCTTTCCCAGTGGGACGTGGGTTTTCCCACAGAACCCAAGGGCACTTGATGGGTGGCGGCTGTCCTGCTGGCATGTAAATGTCTTCCAGCTTCTGTGTACGGGGACAACTGGGACAACCATGCCCCTGACCCGCAGTTTGTACCCCCAAGCCTGGGGATTCCCAGGCGGAAGGTTTTTTTAAAAGAGAAAGGGGAGCTAATTATCATTTGATGAAGAGGCCCCAAGGCAAACTCGGGTAAGAGAGGAGGCGGCTGCATCTGTGGTCTTTCATGTGAAGTTAAAACAACTCTGCTCTGGCCAGGAGCCAGGGTCTGGGGGAGGAGGATGCTGTGTCTCAGGCTTTCCACCTGCCTTGTCCGGGCATTCTGAGGTGAGTGAGGGTGGAGGCTCAGGGCTGAGTGAGCATGGGCAGCACAGTAGATGGGTCCCTGGCCTGGCCATCTGTGGTGAGAGTGGCTTGGAAAGAGGGTCTGAGGGCATCCAGAAGGCAGGCCTTTGGTCCAAAGCCCACGGAACACCCACATTTAGGTCCTCTGGCTCTGACCTGGCTGGGAACAGCAACCATGAGCTTTGGGGTGTGCCCCAAGCTGCCCAGCTATAAACTGGGTGCAGGGCCTCCTGGGCGTTGTGGTCACCTTTAGGCCACCTGAACAGCTGCTGGACGGGGGCTCTGTTGAAACTACCCAAATTTCCTGACATGTTCAAAGCCCCTGCACCGACCCACAACCCTGGGACCAGGTCGGCCAGCCTCCCGAAGTCTGCAGTGGGCTCCCCTCGGGGGCATGTGGCCAACCGAGCAGTTGGTGTCAGCATGCAATTGGGCAGCCACCTACAGAGGGGATGGGGGGTATTGTTCCAATAGGTAGTGGTCTGAGAGGGCACTCTTGTCACAGATCTGGCCAGCCCAGCATCCTCCATCCTGGCCTGTCCCCTCCAAGGTTAAGAAGCACCAGCCGGCACACAGCCCCACACAACCACATGGGGACATGTCTTCTCGGAGCCATGTTCAGGTACCACCTACACCACTATGGGCAGACCTCAGGGCAGATGCTCACGCTTGTCACAGAAAAGGGTGATAAAAAAGAAGGACCACCTTTGTGACCTCTGAACCTGACACCAGCGGGGCCCTCCCCCCGCAGGTCACTGCAGGCAGCTGGTCCAGTGGATGCCCTCGGACCAGGGGTCTCTGTTCTCCCTGGCCACCTGCCACCTCCACACATACAACACACCACCACTTTCACACAGGAGGAGGCACACACATGGTGCAGTAGGTGCTTCCACAGGTCCCACAGGCATGCGCCCACCCACACGGCACCCAGACCTACCTGCGAGCCTGTAGGGCCGGCAGAGCCGAAGGCCAAGTGCGTACAGCGGCAGGGAGTTGATGAGGTCCACGAGCAGATGGATCAGGCCCTGCACGGTGACCACCAGGAGCCGGAGCTGTGGACAGACAGTGCTCAGGGCCTCTGAGCCAGGACTGAGGCCAGAGCCATGCTGGCATGCCCATGAGCAGAGCAGCCCGATGGGCCCTGGTCCACAATGAAGGGTGACCAAGGGACTCAAGAGCCTTGCGAAAGCATGGATCCCACTCTGAGGAGGGCATGGACCTCATCCCAAGCCTGAGGCCCAGACACAAGGAGGCGGGGAAGCAGCAGGTAGGAGTGGTCAGCCGTCCCACCAGCTCAGAGGAGATGAGCCACTGGACCCCCAGCCCACGCTACCTAGGTACTGCTCCTCTCCTGCTGTCTGAGACCCCCAGGCCAGGCAATAAGGGGAGACCACCACCACGAGCTGCCTACCATGGGTCCTGCCCTCCCTGCTCCCTGAGTGTCCCCCCAGTGTAGGACCCCTACCCACTCCGGGACCAAGCACACACTGCCCAGAGAGCCATACTCCACAAGGCCTGCAGCCAGTGCGTGGCCTGCCCATGACTGGCAGGCTGGCAGGGAGAGCTGTCAGTCAACACTCTAAGCACTGCAGGCAAGGCCCCTTGGCCGGGTGCCACCCAGAGCCCCCCATGGCTCACCAGGGTGAACACCAGGTAGTACAGGGCCGTGGTCGGCAGCAGGAAGACCAGGATGGTGAAGAGCAAAGTCCCGATGAACAGCTGCCAGGAAAGGGGGCACGGGCATCAGCATCAGCTGGACCCCACATGGGTCAGCCTCAGCAGCACTGGCCGAGCCCCTGCTGTCCATGCCCACCAAGCCCATCCTGTAACAGCAGAAACGGAACACCTGATGGTGGGGCACTTGCTTCCTGAGACAACTCAAGAAAGCCCGCTCTCTCCAGTACTGGGAGGGGGACGACTGTGTGCCCTCCAGGCTTGGTGACCCATGGAAGACAGGACTGGCCAGTGAGGTGGACAGCCATGCACAGCGAAGACAGGAAGGGAGCTTGTGGAAATGAGAGAAAAACACGCCCTGGAGAGCAGTGCTCAGGGTCTGAGCGTCAGGTGTGAACAAGCTAATGGGTGAGTGAGAGCCAGGCCCTGTGTCCAGGTCACCTCTTGTGCCCGCTGTCCAGGGGCTCCTGGGGGCCCAGTAGCCTCTTGAGAGCAGGGTCTACCTCCTCATGTCCCCCATGTCTCCCCATGCTGACCCTGCAAGTAAGCTGCAGGTGAGCTGCTCACAAAAGTGCGGCTGCCCCTTCATGGTGCCCGAGCAGTTACATGGCCAGGTGCATTCAGAGGGGCCGGCTAGACTGGAGCCGGGAGGTCGTCACCTGTAGGTCACGCTGGCCAGTTGGGGACAGGTGCCCCCTGCCCTGCCATCCCGCCCAGTACCTGGTCCAAGTCGTAGGAGCAAGAGTCCACCCGCTGGCGCAGAACATTCCACTTCTTCCCCCGGAACAGGCGCCAGAGCGAGGACAGGCCACAGATCTTCAGGCAGTACAGCCTGCAGGACACATGCCATCAGGGCCAGGCCCGGGCACCAGGCCATCCCATCCCTTTCCAGCCCCAGGAGCCTGTCTGTGGTACCCAGGAGCCGGGGCTGCACTGGGTCACCTGCAGGGGCAGGGGGCACACACCCACCTGGCACCGTAGACATAGAAGCAGTAGATGTGGAAGGTGAGGAGGGCGATGATATCCGACAGGATGGACAGGGCGACTGTCAGGCCCAGGCAGGCTGACAGGCCCATGTGCCACAGGATCCGCTCGATGAAGGGGGACATAAGGTGGATGTAGCCTGGCGGGATGAGGGTCAGCACTGAGGGGGTGCCCAGGGAGGTCCTGGCCTCCCCACGGCCTCACTGAGGATGGCGCCTGAGGCTTTTGGAAACTATGAGTGACACACAACGCTCTGGCCATCCCTTGGTGGTGCAGCAAGCCCAGCCCAGCAGGACTGCACACACACAGGATGCAGGAAGGGCGGGAAGCAGGGACCCAGGGGACAGTGCCAGCCCTGGAGCCCACCGCCCTGCTCAGCCAGGGCTTGTGTCTCTGGCTTCAGAAACCCTGTGGCCCGCCCACCAGCACTCACTGATCCACAGGTGGATGTGGTACAGGAAGAAGCGGCCCAGCACCTGGTCCAGCGCCCGGTTCATCTTGAGTCCAGCAGGTGCGCCCATTAGCCACTGAAGCAGGTGCTGGAGCTCCTCGGCCACACGCTGCGAGGACACAGAGGGGTGGCTGTCCATAAACTGGGCCCCGCCCTGGCCAGCCCATCTGTGCAGTGCCAAGGTAGGCCAGGCTCCCTCCTCCAGGTATCTGGGCTGCTGTCTCCCATCATGATGGGGACATGGTGTTTCCTGCACTTGGCTGGCCACAGAACACCTCTTCAAAGGGGTTCTGGGATGCAGGGCTGAGAGACATGGCCTAGGAGGCCAAAAGTCTGCCCCTGGCCCCCTGGACACATGGCCCTTAATGGGCATCAACCTCCAAATGAGGCATCATTTCCCCCATCTCACTGCTGTGGCCACTGGACCCATGGGAGCCCTTGACCCCAGGTGCCAGGATGTGGGACAGACCCAGGTTCACTGTGAACCTTGCAGGGGGAGCCCGTGGGCCCACCTAGTCTTCCTCTGCCAAGGACCCACCCCATCACCTGCCACAGCAAAGGACTGGGCCTGCCCTGGGTGGGTGAATTCAGGTGAGTGTGAGGGTGTCGAGCCCATCAGGGGCCCAAACAGCAGGTAGGAGGGCTGGAGGGTACTCAAGAGGGAAGGACAGGTGGGGACTCAAGAGTCAAGATCAATGTCAAGTGAGGGCCAGAGACCCTCATAAGCAAGCAGAGAAGCTGACCAGCATTCTGGCTGCCCCCGGAGGAAAGCCAATGTCTGGGTGCCATGTCGGCCCCAGTGGATAGGTCCCAAGGACCCTCAGCCCCTCAGCCTCGTCTCCGATGCTGAGACCACAGGAGAGACATCCCTGGCCCATAGTCAGAGGTCTGCCACTACCCCCTCCTCCTGCCCACCTTGCAGGCATCTCCCAAGCCTGCGTGAAGGCCTCGGCCATGTCAGGAGCAGTGAGAAGAAGAACAGAACATTCTTTATAAATAGAGCTTATTTAATATTTAACGGATAAGAGCTTGGCGGCAGGAAGAGGCTTTCATTTTTAAATTAAATATTTATATTTCTGAGCAGTTTTGCAGAAGGAAGGTCTAGGGTGAAGCTGGCCAACAGGCACAGTACAGACAAGCAGGCGTGGCAGCCAAGCCCCCTTCTGAACTCCCCACATCCTCCTTTCTCCTTCCTCCTTCCTCTCCGCCAGGCCACCCCGAGAAGCCATGGGGACCCGCAGCCTGGGAGGGCTCCTGCCCACAGGGTCTGGTGACAGCTGGCAAGGGCTGAGCCCATATGGGCCCTCCAGGCAAGCCTCAGCCTCTTGACCACAGGAGGCCCCTGCAGAGGCCTGGGGGTAGCCCCAGGGGCCAGAGGGCCTGCCCTAAGCAAAAGACAAACTCCCAACAGAAATTACAGGGTCTTGGGCGCTGAGGAAGGGAGGCGGAGAAGCTGAAGGGCCGGAACCGGCACGGAAATGCAGGTGGAGGGGGACAGCACCCAGGCCCTGGAAACATTGCCCAGAATTGTAGGCGAGTCCCGGGGCACAGCAGATGAGCTGGTGCCTCTGGCTCTTAGCACAGGAGCTACAGAACCAATGCTGGGAGCGATGTGACCACCTCAGGGTGGGAGGCCGGAACTCGACCACACACAGACAGCCCTGGACACACAGGTTTCTGTGATGCAGACCATGCAGAGGACCCATGCCAAGAGCCAGCAGCCCCGAAGAGCCAGGAGAGCAGAAACAGTCACACACGGGGAAGGCAACAGGGACACCGTGACACTGGCCCTGGCAGGGGCAGGTGGGTTCCCCCTAAATGCCTCGACCACAAAGTGGCCCCCATACATGGCCATCTTTAGGAAGGCAAGGTGGAGGCCAGGAGCTGCAATGTAAGCCAGCGTGGGAGGGTAGGCGCCTGGCAGGCCCAAGTCTCCACAGCCCCAGGGACCCTGTGAGGCACAGCGGCTCCCAGGGGACTGGTCTGGGATCAGTGATGAGAGCTGCTCTGGCCAGCTGAGGGGCCTCTGCTGTCCCTAGGAAGGGCCCCAACCCCACCCCAGGAAACAGGTGCTCAAGTCCGTACCCGGCTCCACCCCAACTCACGTCAGCCACTGGGACGAGGGCATCAGCCAGCTGCTCGATGCGGTCTTTCCCGTGGAGCCAGGACAACAGCGTAAGGCCAAGGGCCACGTCCAGGAGCACGGAGACAAACATGTTGGCCTTCCTGGAAGAAGGGTTCCAATGGGAGTGGGCAGTGAGGGCAGCCTGGTCAGAAAGGGTCGGTGCATACGGGTTTGATGCCGAGAAGGGAGAGGAGACAGACCCAGGGCAGGCCCCGCACCTCATCAGCTGGGAGGGGTTCTCGGCCTTTTGGGGGTTGAAGATGAATGTAAGCTGCTCCAGCCGGTACCTAAGCTGCTCACATGTGGAAAGCTTGCTCCAGATGAAGGACAGTGGCCACAGATTGAAGAACCTGCAAAGGAGCAGAGAGGATGGGCCTTGAGCTCCTCCCGTGCTCTCTTGCCTGCCAGGGAGCAAGGGCCGCCTCAGTGTAGCCAACACCCCTCATTAGGCAGACAGAAAGCATCAGGCCTGGCTCAGCGCAAAGCCCTGGTTGCCCCAAACACCAAGGGCCACACTCCCGAACTCAGCAGGGCAGGGACACAGGTGGGGGGGCCCAGGGGGCAGCCCAGTGGGGTTCATGGTGCACTCACAACCATTAACTGGGAGCCTGATCACTTCACAGGGTGCTGATCCCAGGCCAAGACTGCGCCCCAGGATGGAGAGAATGCACTGCCCTGCTGGGTGGGTGACCCTTGTCAAGGGTCTCCAGGCTGACCTGGCCCCGCCGAGACCGCTTTCTCACCAGGCAAAGGAAGCACTGAGACACCTCCACAGACATTCAAACATTGAGGGGAGATGCTTGCAAGCCAAGGTGAAGAAAGTGCTGGATTGCAGCTCAGCCATGCCCAGGGCCCCTTTCCACTCATAGCCTTGCTGCTGGCAGGGGACGGAAAGGGCTTGTGCAACGTGCAGAACCACCAACCAGTGTGCACTTGGACTTTCAGGAGAGGGGAGGTCTCAGCCTTGAAAGGTTTAAAGGCTTCATCTCCAACCAAGGGGCTTTGAACCAATTCCAAGAATGAAATGCATTCAGCATACCCCCTCCCTCCCCAACTCCCATTAAATGGAAGGTGTCCTCGCCCTGTCTGTACAGAGACCCAATCTGAACAGCAGTGTCCCTGGGCTCAGAGCAGCCCTGGGCAGCCTGGGCCCCGACAGCATCCCTGGGACCCCCTCTGAGGGGGACAGGGGGCTTCGCTCCTGCAGTGATAGCCACACCTCATGTGCACAAACCTCCCCATGCTCGTAACCACTAGCAGCCAACAACCAGCACCTGACTGATGGGCATGTGAGCCGTTCTTAACCTTTCTTGGGTCCTTTGAAAGCTGATAAAAGCTAAGAACCTTCTCTCCCCCACGTTGCACCTAGGCCCAGACACACTTTCATGTACTTCTTTAGTTGTGAAGCTCTGAAACCTCCCATCCCCAATGGCCCCCATAACCCAAGGCATTGTCCACACACGACTGCCAAGGGCTCTCATTCAGGACAGGCCCGAGTGCTTCTGGGGCCCTGAGTGAGAAGGCAAGGCCAGTCTCCAAACCAGACCTAAGAGGAAGGGGTGTCTGATAGAGTAGCATAGCTGCTGCCCACCAGTGAGACGGTTTCTCACAAAGAGAGGGGCCCCTGCAGCCCAGGCCCAGGCCATCTGGTCAAGCAGCCAGAACACCCCGATGTTGCCCCAGCATTGCCCAGGGCGCTCGGGGACTTTGGCCAATCCCTTGGCCAGGCCTGCAGCCAGGAGTGTTCCAGGTGATTCTAGAGAGTGGCTGAGGCTGGGTACCACCACCCACACCCATGGCTGCTAGAGTGGATGCACCCCCATGGCCTCTGGGGCCACCTCTCCTGTGGGGTTAGAGCCAGGGAAGCAGGCAGGCCTGCGTATACTCAGGAGGATGAACCCCTCCTAGGCGGGGTGAACACTGGCCCTTGGGTGGCAACAACCTAATCTGTCCATCATCTCATCTCCCTCTCAGGGGCTGGAGCCATGTGAGGTTCACCCAGCACCCCTACTGGTGGGTCCCATGCAACCGCTAAGGCTGCCAAAAAGCCTGGCTCTTTCCCAGGTGCAAGGGGTATCAGAACAGCAGCCACAATCAGGACGCCCTCTGAGATACCAGGGGAGGGAGCATGGAAGAGCTAGGATACAGGGGCAGCCATGAGCCTCAGAAGGGCCTGCCTGGGCCTCCATACCCCTTGCACACTGAGGGGTAGGCCTTGGACTCAGGAGCCTGACTTCGTCCCACCCCGGCCCCAGGGGCACCTACCGGCAGGTGCTGGCAGCTGAGACAAGTGACAGTAGGTAGGTCAGCAGCAGGCAGATGGGCCCCGAGGCCCACTTGGCCACCTCCACGAGGATGCTGGCTTCCACACCCTCCGACTGCCAGTGACTCAGCCGCACGGGGCCCTCATCAAACCGATCACTTTGGAAGAGCACCTCGCTGCGAGCCACTGTGTCGAAAATAGCAGCCAGGCCTGTAGCGCTGGCCATGGCATCCCCAGCCTGGCAGTCAGGTAGGGCTGCAGGCGGGTGCAGCTGGGACAGCAGCACCTTGCGCTGGTCGTAGAAGATAATCATGACCTGGTCCTCGCTGGGGGCACCAGGGGAGGTGGGCGCCTGCCAGCCAGTGGCCTTGCAGCTCCAGAGCTTGCTGCCTTTCTCCCGGCACAGCTGGAGCCAGGGCTCATGGGAGAAGATGGCACCCAGGCCCTCTAGGAAGCGGCCCAGGCTCTCCTCGGGCTCCTGCCGACGGTGGCACCAGGTCCCCAGCACAGCCAGGCCCACTTGACTGGTCTGCTGTACCTGGGCCAGGAGCTCCTTGACCTGGATGGGGATGAAGGGGAAGTGCACCACCGCCAGGATCACGGCACTGCTCTGCTCTGGGACCCACCGTCCAACCAGGAGGCCGCTGTCCGCCGAGGTGCAGCACGTGGGGAAGAAAGCCTTGAGCACCATGCCGGGACACTGGAAGAGAAGGGAAGACACTCAGCTCAGAGCTGCTGCCACCCCCACTACCCTCCATGGCCCGGCGGGGGGGCTGGCAGGACTGTGGCTGCAGGCCATGGCTAGTGTGTAGCACAGACACCCCGATGGACATGTCCACATGGCTAGAGGGCCCACGGGTTAGGGTGACCCGGTTTTGGGTTTGGTCATGGAGGCTGATGCGGGGCCCTGGCTGTCCATCTCCCATAGGTGCTACCCTCACCTTTGCCCGGCGTAGCTGTGAGCACAGGTCACGAATCACCCCTCACCCTCACCCAAGGCACGTCAACGCTTTCCCCCATTTCAGAGAGAAGCAGGCTGGACCAGGGCGAGATTATGTGACCTGCTCCGTACCCTCACAGGGCGTGCAGAGCTGAGCAAGAGGTTTAACTTTTGTTTTTAAAGAACATGATTAGCTTTTTTATGTGTCGCACATGGAAAAATGTACAATCTCATTAACAAAGTAATTCAAATTAAAATTCTATCGAACCTTGATTTACTTACTAAACTAGCAAGAATGAAGATGAAATTTAAACAAATTCCTGCTGGGCTGAGGGAAACGAGACGTGTGCACACTGTTGGAGGCTGTGGGCACTGACTGGTGCAGGCGTTTCGGAAGGTGTCTGGGGACCTGCCCAGTGAGACCCCTGGAGGAGCCTCAGTGCTCAGGGAAAAGGCTCAACTCTCACAGGGTTTCTGCCTCTATGCTGACCCTCCAGCCTATGGCCACACCCATCCTGCCCTGGGAGCCCACCCATCTTGCCACTTCAGGGCAGGGCTCCCAATAGGGCTGAGTGCCTCCTTAGGGAAATATTCTTCCAACCAAGTAGCTATCTAGAAATGGGTGTGGGAGAAATTCGCCAGCCCTGGAGAATGGAGAGACCCTGTCATCTTCTCTCAAGGTGAGGGATGCAAGCCTTCCAGGCCTCACTACCTTTGCATTGTCTCTGAGCAGCAAGGACACCCCAAGCAGCTGCAATTCCTAAATGCTGTGGGACCCTGAGCCTTAACTTGCCCAGAAAGGGTTTCTTAACAAGCACCTCATTCTTCCACCTGAGCCCCTCCCAGATGGGGCCTGATAGGCAGCGGGACCTCCCCTGGCATGCTGCTGAGGGCATTCACCTTGGAACATGCCCTTTCTGATCCCAACTGCAACTACTCAGCACAAAAGAGCAGAGCAGCCACCCTAAGCTAAGATCCCCAAGTTGGAGCCCACACCTGAGGGAGCGACACAGGCCTCGGATTGAGCCTAGGCCTCTGAGCTCCAGTGCTCACCAGGCCCATGGGGATAAGGGGACAAAGAGAGACACACAATGTTGGGGCAGTGTGACATTGTAGGAGGCACAGAGAGCCTTTTCCTGAGGGTCAGGGGGCTCTAGGAGGAACCTCACACAGACATAAACACCCAGGGTTTAAGAGGCCACTGGTGCAGCTGCTTTCCTCCCTTGCAGGCAGCCCAGCAAGGGGCTGGAGGGTCAAGGCCACTTCCAGCCAGCTTGTAAAAGGGGCCTCTCACAGCTGTGGGTTCCAGCAGCAGCAGGACCCCCACATGCCGCTCCTCCACGGAGGGCAGGCAACAGTGGGTGCTGGCAGGGGAGAGCCTGGAGCCTCACAGCAGCCCCGGGCCAAATCCCTGTGGCTATCACCAAGGGCATCCAGGGTCAACTTGTCTTCCTGACCTTCTGCAGAGGCTGCCCTCCTGATGGCATCGTGAGAGGGAAAGAACGATTCTGCCTGTGAGGGACCCGGCACGTTTGGCTTGGTGACGACCATGGGGGACCAGGCAGCACAGTCCAAGCCTCTGAGTACCAGCCTGTCGGGGCCTACCAGCTCAGCCAAATGACACCATCACACCCTGCTTGGGCACTCCTTTCACAAGAGCTAACAAAAACTGCCCACGACTACTGTTGCCATTTGGTCTAATGGCAGATTCTCTGGGGCAAGCTGGTTCTATGGTGTGTTTACTTGGGGAAGAACTGAGTTGTACACGTACAATCTGTGCACTTTCTTTGCATGTCTTATGCTTCATCTACAAAGTTTACCTAAAAAAGAAAAAGAAAAAGAAAAAAGCAGCAGCTCCTCCTGTCTAAGGGAGAGCAGAGGGTAGAAGTGGCTGTTCTTATCCGTGGGGTACTGAGAGAGAACTCTGTTTTAACAGATTATGGGGCAAATTTCCACCCCAGCTCCCACCTCAGCCTCTGGGAGTGACGAACACAAAGAAGTCTGCTCAGATCAGAGGGCCAGAAAGAGATGAAAGAGCAGACAATCAATAGCAGAGGTGCAGATGGGAAAAAGCAGGGCATAAACTTGGGCAATGTGCACATCTTTAAAGACTGTGATAAAAAAGGGGGGGGCCCACATGCCTGGAAAAGTCTCTCCTGATAAGAATGACCCCAAGTTCCCTTAGGAAACAGCCCATTCGCAGATCAGTTGGCTCTCTGGGACGCCCCTCCCACAGAACTGGAGGTCAACAGCCCACCTTATGAAGCAGATGCTCTACTTCTCTCTCATCACCCTCTGCATGAACTGACTCCAGGGGAAAGCCCAGGTCTCACTGGCCAGGGAGGTCTCACTGGCAGAACCCCTCCTCTGTGAAACCTCCCCCCCATCACCACTCCTTCGATGGCTCAAAAGAATCATGTTTTCACTCCACATCGTTTGTGTTTTAAAAAAATGTTTTTTTTTTCATTTTTCTCACGTTTTGTGAACAGTGCTTTTTCTCGTTTCAGAAGAATGGACCAGAATCTAGATTCTGATTTTTGCCCTTTACTGTAGTCAGGGGCAACTATAAAGTGCTGCCAACCAGTTCCACTGGCCCTGAATCCCGACTCTTCCAAAGAGTCCACGGCAGCCCCCAAGTTGGGGTGGGTCAAAGGGAGTCATTCCGGGGCCCTTCACCCTACAAGGGTGTTGGGACCAGACTCCCCGCTAAGAGCACCCATGCGGCCAGGCCACAAATCCCCCCTGGTCTGGGCGAACCCGGCTCCTGTGGGGGCTGGCGGGACGCTCACTGCTCTCCTAAGTCGCAGGCCCCCTCGAGGCAGCAACCGGTGGCGTCCCTATTTTACAGACGAAGAAACAGGCTCCGAGTGGCAAGAGGCCTGTGCCGGCCCTGGGAGGAGCCTGCGAGAGACCCTTCCGCTCCCTCGCCTGTGCCCTGTACCGCCGGGGCCGGGGAGTCGGAGCCCACAGCCCCGGGCCAGGAGGGGGCGGATCCCCAAGGTCACGCCGCACAGACGCCGGCCCTCCCCGCGAATGCTCACCGGCTGCTCCCCCGGACCCTCGGGCGGCGGGGTCGGGATGGAATTGGGGACCACGTCGGGGAGGCCCCCGATGGACAACAGCACTCACGGGTCCCAGCCCCGCCGCGGCCGTGCCGCGGGACACGAGTTTCCTTTCCGCGGGCTCTCAACGTTGCTGCGCTACGGTCCGGCCCCCAAAGGTGCCCGGGTTGCCCGCTGGCCTTGCCCGAGAGTTCCGCTCACGCAGCGTTCCCGACTCCAGAGCTGGTGGCCTTCGCGCTTAGCGTCCTTGTTATCCCTACTGCGCAGCGTCCTTGTCTTCATTTCCCCGCAGCATCCTTATTCCCCCCAGAGTCCCTGTGCCCCCGCTCAGCGTCCTTGACCCTCCTCCCGTCCACCCGCAGTGTCCCTAAACCACTGCCTTCCAGCCCCCCACCTACCCCCCAGCCGCCAAACCTCCCTGGGTTTCCTCATCTGAGGGACCCAGTACCCGGCTTTTGAGGGTTCTGTCCTTCGCCTTGCCCCCACCTTCCCAGGATGAAAGGATCTCCAGGCCCTCCGTGGGATCCCATAAAGAGCTCACTCCCCAGCCCCAGCCCCAGCCCCAGCCTGGCCCCCTCACACACTGGTCTCTGCAGAGGGTCGCCCCAGGTCCCCCTAGGGACAGGCTGGCCAGGAAGGACCAGCTCAGAGGAAACATCCATCTGATCTGATTGTCAGGGGGCCTCCCTGGCCCCTCCTGCTCCAGGAAACAATACCCCCAACACCAGCAACAACAACTAGTTTATTGAGCACCTACTGCACATGCCTCCTTATATTGATTGATTCATTTAATCCCCCTACCCACAGAGGTTTGGGACTTATGGAGGGAATCTTATCAGAGGTGATGGCCTAAACTGTAGACCCCCAATGTCCTGGTGACAGACAGGAGCACCCCCTCACCAGCCCTCATGGGCAGGACCAGGCACTGTCCCCCCACCCCGCAAGACCCCTAGCTGGAACTAAGAGCCTGACCGTGCTCTAAACTCAGAGTAACCCTGCCCTTCCCCACCCTTTTCGGGCTTCACTTTCCTGCTGTTTTGAGCAGCAGGCGTGTCTCCTCATTGGAAGGCTCTCCTAGACTGGACCACTGCCCATAACCCTCCCAGCTCCCCCCCACCCCCACCGCCCCATGAGCTTGGGCTGTTCGGTCCTGGTTTACAGAGGAGAAAATGAATGATCAGATAGCCCGTGAGACAGTTTCACGTGGGAGAAATGGCCAGGGGCATGAAGACTCCCAACGCAGCCATGTGCCACCCCAAGGCACCTCCAGAGCAGCCCCCTTCTGCCTCCTCCTTACCTCAGCTGGGCCCAGACAAGCTGCAGGAGGCTTGGAACCTGGGGCACCTCTGAGGATGGGGGACAATGAGGGGCCGCACCCTTTCCCAGGCTGCCCAGCCTAGTGCAACTCAGCCCAGCCACACCTTCCCTGCCTGCCTGTGTCTGATTAGGAGGCTGGGGCTGGGGCAACTGGCGGGAAATACTGCTTGGGTAAGAGCTGGCAGCTGGCCCAGCATGCCAAATATCTCCAGGCTTCAGCTGCTGGCTCCAAAGCTCAGGCCTCCTGGGCCCTGCGCCAGCAGGGCCAAGGCCTGGGTGGACATGGGGGCAGAAAGCATTGGGGCACACTGAACTGGGGCATGGAGAGAACCCAGCTTTGGAGGCTGTGAACCTTGCAGGGGGCGCTGAAAGGCAGCTGATTCGTGGCTGCTGACCAAGGCTGAATCCTTTCCAAGAGGAAGCCAGGAAGCCAGCCCAGGGCCTGGCTCACTAGGTGCTCAGAAAATGTGCAGGTTCAGGAGGGCATCGCCGCCAGCCCTGGAGGACTCCAACCCCCTGAATGAGCCTCTCCTGGTGATCTAGTGACCTGGGGCTGCTGCCATCCAAGCCCACGGGGTCAGGTCAGCTCTGAGTACTGGTACACCTTGATGTAAGTGTCCCCTGCATCTGCCACTACAAGCCGGCCCTGGGGCACACAAGCCATACCAAAGGGCCGCCCCAGCCACTTGGACACCAAGCACATGGGTGCCCCAGCCCTGGGGAACAGGGTCACCTGATGACATTGCTCATCTGCCACAATAATACCACCTTCTGCATCAGTGCACACACCCACCGGGCTGCCAAAGGTGAGCCCCGTCAGGCCCCCCAGGGAGCCCAGGGGCTGGTAGACACCGAACAGCCACACATCCCCAAACTCCTCGCTCACAGCAAACCCCCCATTGGGCCCCAGACCCACCAAGCAGGGGCCCTCTAGACCCAGCACGGAGGCCAGGGCCCGTGGTTCCAAGGTGCGGCCCAATGTAAAGCTGTGTACAGCCCCCGACACATAGTCCATCACCAGGAAGCAGCCAAGGGTATCCACAGCCAGCCCCCGGGGGGCCGAGGAGGTGCCCACTGTCACCCAGCGGCCTCGGGGGGCTCGGGCCGTGTGCTGGAGTGTGTAGACAGCCCCACGGACAAGGTCACTGACCACCACGAGCCCCGCAGCTGTCACAACCACATCCTCTGGCACGAAGTCCCCGATCCCTGGCACGTGGCAGGGCAGGTGGCAGACAGAGCATCCCTCGAGGTCCAGCACATGGATGCAGGGAACAGCCCCAGCTGTCAGGAAGAGCAGGCCGTCCAGGGAGCAGTGCAGGCCCTGGGGCCCCCCTCCAGCCCCTGCAGGCACTGGGATCTGCCTGAGCAGCTGGGGCTGCCAGAAGTGAGCAGAGTCTCCAGGTGGGTCCAGCATGAGGTGCAGGCCCTTGGGGTCAGCTGGCCAGCTGGTGGGGGAGACCCAGGAAGTCAGAGCAGAAGGCCAGAGGGCAGATGGGCCGGCTTAGACTCCCTAAGGCAAGTTCCTGTGGTTGGGCCATGTTTGGGGCTGCAAGAGAAAGAATGTCCCACTGGGTGCCACGCAGAAGCTATCTCTGTCCCCCCCGCACCCTTCCAAGCAGTGTTGGTGTCCTCCTATTTTACAGATAAGGAAACTGAGGCGTGGGGAATTGTTGGCAGATCTGGATTTGAACTCAGCTCCACCAGGTCCTGAGTCTGGCCCAACCTGCACGCCCAGTCGCGAGCTGTGTCTCTAAGTCCCGTTTTCCAGATGTGGTCCCTGGAACACAATTCTGGGAGACACAGGCCCATGGAGGTCACCATGGGTTTTGCTCTGAGGCCTGAATAAGCTCATGGGCATTGAGCTGTGCCAAGGTAGGGGTGGGGATGACAGATAAACCATGTTTCTCAAACTCATCTGCCCACAGAACCCTTCCTTCCTTCCTTCCTTGCTTTACACAGGGAAAGCGACCCTTCTTGGGGGCAGCCCAAGCCACTGCCCATTGCCCCCACACAAGTCCTGGAGACTTCCAACCCCAGAGGGTTGAGGCAGGGTCCTGGCCTCTCCACCTGCCCTTACCCAGGAAGGCCAGTGGGAAGGGTCTCCTACCTGGGCCCAGGCCCTGGCCCCGTTCCCTTCTCTTCTCCGACTGCAGCCTGTTGTTGGCAATAGAGCCTGAAGGAGTGGGTGGGGCCACCTTGATGTGGGTGAGAGGGGAGGGGGCAGGTGGAGCCTCTGGGCCCCATGGAATCCCATCACTCAGCCGCTAAACCCCAGGGACTTCCAAGTGCTGCTACCTTTCTGCCTTGGGGCCTTTGCACTGGCCTCTGAGACATTCTTCCTACCGCCCCTGCTTGGCTGGATGCCACATCTACCCTCCCCAGGGAGGCCCCCACAGCTGTCCACACCCCACACCCCACACCCCTCTGAAAGATCAGTCATGGGCTCTGAGGAAATGTCTGTGTGCGAGGCGGCCTCACCCACCACCCCCAGCAAGACCAGAGTCCGGGGTGAAGGGCCTCCAGCGGTCCATCTTGTCCCCCTGACCCCTAGGCTGGACAGGTTGGGTCCTGTCTCTCTGATCCCATTTTTCCACTTGTAAAGCTGGGGTGATGCCCCCCAGCAGGGCCAGGCTCACATCTGCCCAGTAGGTGATGAGAAATCGGGGAGCAGTAGACACGTGTGGGTGCCAGCTAATGGGAGGCCAAGGACTCAGAACCTGAGGGTTCTCTGCACACCTCCCAACTCAGCCCACAGCCTCCTGTGGCTCCTCCAGGAAGCCCCTGGAAGGTGGTGGTGGGGTCAGCCTCTGTCTGCAACCCACAGCGCTACCCCACCTGGTCAGCCTGTACCCCTGCTCTGGACACTGCCTCTTAACGCCCCGAGGTGGGGTGGGAGGCCGATGCTATCTGCTGCCTGGTGCAGTTAATGGGGCAGCCACAGGTCCTGCTCCGACTGGCCCCAGCCCGGCTGGCCCAGCTTGGGGAGCCAGGCACAGGCAGAAACTGCCTTCCCAGGGGCCATTCCTGAGTGGGCACGGAGGTGTGGCCAGCTCCAGGGAAAAGAAGCGATTAACTGGATCCAAGGGTCCCCTGAGCAACCCTCCCTACCTGCTCCCCATACCCGCCTGAGAGGCCAAATCAGGCCGAGGTGGGAGGGAGGCAGTGAGCTGTGAAGGCCATCTGATGCCTATCGTGCCTGCAGGGGCTGGCGGGGCCCAGTGGAGGCCACGCTGGGTGAGCAGCCCTGAGCCACAGAATATGGGGGCACCATATAACCACAGTGGGAGCAGCCTCCAGCATGAATCTGACATTAGGGCTGCCCTGCCAGACACAGGGGCTAGAGGCATGCCTGGAAGGGCCCTGCCCACCGCCAATGTGTGGAAACACAGGCCTGACCAGCCCCCAGACTACAAGCACCTGCCTCCCCACCTCTCCTTGCTCTGTCCCCTCCGATGAAAAGCCCCCCACTCTAGCCCCAGACTCCACATCCCACCCCCAGAGAGAGCCCAGTCTATAGGAGGAAGATCAGAGTCTGAAAACAGACACCTGGCAGGGAGGCCCAGGACACTGCCCACCTCAGATGCCCAGGGGGAAGGGGTTCCAGTGGTGATGCTGGAGCAGCGAAGGAAGGAGGAGGCCCAGACAGGGTGTGTGAAGGTGATTTCTATTTTAATGTCCACAACTGTAATCAATAAAAAGCCGTGACCCTCTGCTGTCCCTGTGTGGCCCCAGAGACAGGCCACGGCCATGGTGGGTGGGGTCCATCCACGGGCATGCTGGGCAGGCTCCAGGCCTCACCCCCGGGGCTGAGGCAGGCGGGGGGCCGGGCAACGGGCACGGGATTGGGGAAGGGCCCCTGTCTTTTAAGGACAGAGGTGGCTGCAGGAGCTATGGTCAGACCTCAGCACCTGAGGAGCTCTGCAGGCCAGGGGCAGCCTCAGGAGGCCAGGAGCCGCCAGCCCTGCCTCGGGGGCCCCAGCTACTACCAGGAATGACAGGCTCATCTGGGGCTTGGAGTGGGAGAGCCGGGGGTGGGACACTGGAGTCAGCCTCACACTTGGTGGTATGGCCAGAGAAAGGCTCAGCTACTGTGGGGCCCATCATTCTGGGTGGCTCAGGGGTCCCCTGGGCAAGCGTGGGGCTGAGCTCTGGCTGCCCCCAGGTCCCCGAGGGCACTGAGGGCACCTTGGAGGGTGCCCGTTTCACAGAGAGATCAAGGGGGACGTCTGGGGGCCTCACAGCCCACTCCAGTGCCTGGTGAATGGTGAGCAGCTCTTGGCGAATCTTGCCCAGCTGCTCCCGCAGAGGCCGTGGAGCCAGGCCCCTGGCAGGTGCTAGCTGCCCCAGGCGCTGCTCCACCCTAACGTAGTCGCCGAGGGCCCGTGTCAGGTCCTCACCCACATGCCCAGGGCCCCCCAGCACCAGGCCAGATGGCTGCTGGGGCAATGGAGACATAGGGCCCAACGTCTCGGGTTCACCTGGCTCCTTGTCCTCAGGCCAGAGCGTCATGGAGGGGCCAGTCCACAGGCTAGGGGGTAGGAGCCAGTCAGGAGGATTCGCTGTCCCCCCCCAGTACCCCCAGCCCCTGCCCCACTCCCCATCGTGCCCCTGTCCAGTCTGTCACTCCAGCCTAGGGCCTCAGGACCCAAGAAGGACAGACAGGCTAGCTCTCTTGTCTCAGTGTCCTCTGCGTCCTGAAGCCCATGTCCCCAGCCACTGAGCTCAGGACCGGAGTACAGCCACCCTGCCCAGTCCTCCTTCCCTTGCCTCAACCCCCCATGACTGGGGGGCCCTGACACCTACCTGCTCTGGGAACCAAGTTTGGCCATGCTGGAGGGGGCCTTCGAGGGCTCCAGCCTGCTCGCCAGGGGCAGCTTCCTCTTGGTGTCACTCTGGGCAGCCAGCTCCAGCCCTCCCTCTTGCCCTGGGTCCCTGGGGGCGCCACAAGGCCACCCACCCAGCCCAGGTACTGGCATCTTCAGCAGCCCAGGGGCAAGAGTCCCCGGGGGCCCCTTGGGAGGGGTGGGGGGCTTGGCAGGGGCAGCCTTGCCTGCCGGCAGCCCCAGGCTATGTTCCAGGAGCAGAGGGTAGTACAGGCGAGGGACAGTGGCGGGGCGCTCAGGGGGCTGTGGGGCAGGGAAAGCAGCAGCTGGGGGCAGCAGGGGGCTGGCCGAGGCCAGGAAGGGCATGTGGGCTGCAGCGGCCAGGGAGGGCCCCAAGTAGGAAAAGAGGCTGGGGCCCAGAGGGTAGTTGACACCCAGCAGGGACAGCTGGAGGCTCTGGGCTTCTGGAAACTCGCTGGAGGTGGGCGGAGGGTAGCAGGGGACGCCGCTCTCAGGGCCTGCTGTAGCTGAGTCCACAACCATGCTCCTCGGGCCCCTGCCCAGCCCAGGCTTCCACGACTCTGCCAGGAGCCCGCCGAGGCCCGCACCCTTCTGGGCATCCCTGCCCGTAGGGGGTAGTGTTCCTGGGGACCCCTCAGCCCCCAGCTTAGAGCCCCTGACACTGCGGTGCAGGGAGAGGACATCAGTGACAAGAAGGTCAGGTGTAGCCGAGGCAGCCAGAGCTCTTCGGGGAAGGCTGCCAGGATCCGTGGAGTCAGAGGGGCTGTCGTCGGTGAGCTCCCGGGCCCGGGGTGCAGCTGGGGCACGGCGGCACGCCCAGTCCGGGGAATCGAGCAGCAGCGAGAGGGAGTCCTTGCAGAGGCTGTACTTCATGTGGTTGTACAGGTGTGACTTCTCTAGGCAGGTGAACGGGCACTGGAAGCACTTATAGTTGTAGGGCTTGCCCCAAGGCCGCGGGATGTAGTGCGGCTTCTTGGGCTTCCGGGCCCGTGCCCGCGCCCCAGGGCCTAGGCGGCATGACCCTGTCTCTCGGGACATGGCGGCCTGCTAGAGGATAGGCCCTGGCACCATGGCCACCTGCAGACAAGGGGGGCTCAGTCAGAGCCTCTGTCAGTTCCCAGAGCTCCAGGGGTAAGAGCCGGCCATGGGACCGCCTCCACCCTGCAGCCTAGGCCTCCCTGGCCTTTGCACATGCAGCCCCCCCGGCCTGGAACCATGGAGTTCCTCTCTGTTCAATTCCTCTCCATATATACTTCTAGGTATCGCTGATAAAAATGCAGGACGTCCAGTTACACCTGACTCGGATAAACAGCAAATACTTGTTTACTATAGGTATGCTCTAGCCACTATTTGGAACGTACACTAACAATGTCTTTGTTGTTTATCAGAAATTTGAGTTTCACTAGGCCTCCTAGAATTTATCTCCCAGGCCCAGCCAGCCCCCAGCAGGCGCAGTTCTGGGGTGATTCCATCCAGGCCCGTCTCTCACGCTGGCAGAGCCAGAGTTTCTGTCTACCCAACGGGCATTTGGTGAGTGACGGGAAGAAGTCAAATATGACCAGGCCCGTTCCTGGGGGTCCTCAGCCTGTCCTTGTCTTACACCCCTCCAGGGACCTCTGCCTGTGTGGGGAAATCGAGACAAAAGCTGCTGAAATAAGAAACTGGACAGAAGGCTCTGAGAGCCTGGTTAACACCGTGTGTGTGTGTGTGTGTGTGTGTGTGTGTGTGTGTGTGTGTGTTTTCCTGCTCCAGCAGGGTGTCGGCTGGGTACTGAAGATCTCAGGGGGTCAGCCTCACAGGGGACCAGGCCAGGCTGGGGGGTGTGGACATCACAGCATGACCCCACAGCACAGCCACCTGCTCAGCCTGGCTCCATCTGGGTGGCTTCAGGCAGGTCAACAGCTGAGCCTTCAGCGGCCAAGCTCGGCCAAGACCCTCCTCTCCCCATGCCCCTCACATTCACTCAGGAGCAGCTCTGCACTCCATCTGGGCCACCACCTGGCTGTCCACCACCCCGGCGCGCGCCTGCGTGGGGTGCAAGGAGAGTGTGGGCACACATGCGTGTGAGGCTCTACATAAGCCCTCCCTCAGGGCCTGGGGGACAACCTCTGCATGGCTGAGCCAATTCGGAACAGAGTGGACCAGCAAAATACATGGGGCCCTGGGCATACGTGCCCATGAGGCTCATACCACATTCAGGCAGGGTGTAAGCAGGCACTCAGATACATCCGGGCGCACTGCGTGCACACACACACACACACACACACACACACACACACACACACACCCGAGGACACACCTTGTCACAGGTGCTCTCAAGGATGTGGATGGACACACTCTCCCTGCTCCCCAGAGCTCATGGGTGGCCAGTGAGTTAAGCAGGGGGCCTGGGGCAGCTGAACAGCCACTTAGAGCAGGTTGTTTTCCCTGCTGGCCTTCGGGCTCTGCATATGGCAGGCAGTCATGTCTGCTGCCCCCCAAACACTGAGTGGGCACCCTCATTATGGGGACAGCCAGAGGGGTAGAGAGGGCTGCCCATCCCAAGAGGCCCTTGAGAGGGGTGTCAGCATGGTCAAAACCAGAGCATGGAAGGGGGGGCAAGCAGAGACTAATTGATTGGTTTGTGGATGCCCATATCTGGGAGGGGACAGGGCTCTGAGAGGGGAGCAGGGGTTGGGAAGAGGGAGCCGGGCCCAAGAAAGGGCCTGGGGCTCCCTGAGGGGCTGCAGACCCCCTTGGACTTGGTGGTGGGTGCAGAGGCAGGCCCCATGCTTCTCCCCTCTCTCCCTGTCCCCCCCCCCCCCGATATAGATGACAAATGGGCATGTGTGTTCAGGAGACAGAGGCTGCTGTGCTCGGGCCATCGATCACCCAGCCCTGGGAGCCACACAGCTGTGCCGCCTGGTGCCACCGCCCACCCCACCTTCCAGCCTGGCCCCTGGACTGGGGGTGTCTCCTCCTAGGCCCCAGGACTCAGGAGGCGGGAGGGGGTGTCCTCCTGTACTGCCTCTTCAGATCAGTCACCTGGGTGGGCAAGCTGGTTCAAGGAGGCATCTCAGCAACTGCTGACCCCACAGGGAGCCAGGGGACGCTTGGCACCCGCCCAGTAAGCTTGTGCACAAGCAGAAGTCACCCCCAGACACCAGCACGCACCCACATACACCCAAAGGCACATTCATTTGCACATGTGTCCCAACCCGTGACTGGGCACATGTTTTCATGGCGGCCTGCACCCCCATTGTGCCAGCCCAGACACCTCAGCTGCACTAACCTTTCACTGTCTGGGGGAGAACTGGTGGCAGGCCAGGAGCAGGAGGCCCCACCCCAAGGTTGGAGAGGGGGCAGCCAGAGCCTGGAGCCACCAGCAGCCATCAGGGGACTCCAGCTCACCCATCCCGCTGGCCCCCTTGGGACTTAGGGAGCCCCCCACAGGGCATGGTGCAGAGGAGTGACCAGGCTCCTCTTTGGCTGAGGATGAGACCCCCACCTCCCTCCCCCTTGCCCTCACCACCGCGCCCTAGCGGGGCCCCTTCCTTCACAAACGGGGCTGATGCTCCCAGGCGGTCACGGTGCGCGGAGCCTGGACGCTGGGAAGCAGCGCTGGTAGGGGCTGGGGCTGCCTGGAATGCGCCCGACACTCCCTGCGTCCCGCCGCCCCTGCACCCCGCCGAGCCCATGCCGGCCCTGCGCTGCCCCGAACTTCGCCGAACGCGTGGACACCTTCGCCCGCCCTACCTGCGCCCTGGCTGGAACAGAGCCTGCGGCGTCCTGCGAAGTCTGCGCCTCGCCTGGAGGACCAGGCAGAAACTTCCCTCCCCCGCTCCACCCGGTGCCCTTCCCGCCCAGCGCCGGCCGCGACCCCGGACCATGCGAAACGGGCTCAGGCTCTCCGAGCAGCGACACAAACTCCCGCAGGGGAAACTGAGGCCCGGTGCTGAAAGCGGAGTACCTTGCAGTCTGCAGTCACTCACTTGGCAGCGAGTATCCGAAGCCTCGGCCACCGACCGCGTCCCCCCCGACGCCGACTCGCACCCACCGAAGTTGGCAGCAGGAGCGGCTGCGCGTGCGCTACGGCGCTGGGCTCCGGGAGGCGCTGCGACCTCCGACCCGGACTAGCAGAGGGAGGGGGCGAGCGAGCGCCGGTTTGCAGTCTCCCCTTGGCCACCCCAGGTGACACCCCCACCCCCGCCCCGTCTCACCCCCTCTCCCTGTCTCATCCCCTCTCCCTGCCCACAGTCGCCCCCTTGCGCGCGGCTCACCAGCCTCGCGCGCCCAGGACCGGCTCAGCTCTCTCTGCTGCGCCGGCAACTCCTGGATGGAGCGGTGGCCGGTGGCACCACCAGAGCCCGGCAGGGACGGACAGCGTCGCGGAGGAGCCAGGAGTGGAGGAGCAGGTGTGCGGATGAATGCGGGGCGCCTGGCACCATCCCCGCCCCCGTCGCCTGCAGGCTGCCGCGAGGGTGCGCAGAGGCGGCTAGGTCTCCCGGGGTCCCTGCAGCGGTGTGATGGGGGTGTCAGCGGCCCAGGGCGCATAGAGAGGGGCCGTCAGCACTCATCCGTCAGGGCAGGGCTCTGGCCCCTGACAGCCGCCCGCCTGAGCCAGGGCCTAGGGGCTGAGCCCCGGGACAGGGGGCGCTGTGGGGAACGGAGCCAGCCCGGGGAGGGCTGCAACCCAGCCCAGGAGTGGACAGAGCCTAGTCCTAGGAGGGCTGGAGCCGGGAGCTGAACAGCACAGCCCAGTGCGTAATAAGTGGAGCAAGATTCCTTTCCTGGCTAGCTCTGCCTGGCCAAGCCGTGCCTCCAATGCGTTTCCTTTTCTCCAAACAGGAGGCTGAATGGACCTGCACCCCCAAACCCTTGCCCTGCCCACTGATGGCCACCGGCTCAGGAAAGGACGGTCACCATGTGCCCACTCCCCTCTTCCTGAAAGCATTACCTCACCACCAGCCCAGACTTCTAACTCCCGTGGCAGGACCCCCAGAAGGCTGCATGGCCAGGCCCTCTATCTTCCTGCTGTTCTTAGAACTCCCCTCCACTGTTCTCCCTCCTGGAAGACCTGGGGTGGATGAGAGGTGTGGCCAGGGAAAAGGCTTGGATGTCTCAGACCCACCATGACACCTCCCTCCCCCTAATGTCCTGATGGCCAGAGCTGCTCCCAGCCCCACTTGGGATTCCACCAGATTCCACATTGCTCCCCGAGCTATCAAATCTTAACAGTCTGGGGTCCCATTGTTTCTCAGCTGGGTCCTCCTGGAAATTCATCTGGCCAGTCAGGTACATTCGGAACATGAATACAGACATGCCAGGGCCAGACCATGTCTCTCCTAGTTTGCATCCTTCAGGGGAAGGTCCCTTAACCCAGAGATGTGCGGTGGTGCCTTTTCAGGCAGGGTGGGGGTCTGCAGCCAAAGGGGTGAGTGACGGTCTGGGCCAGCTCTATGGAGGCACAGAGGGCGCCATGAAGGTCCACTGGGCCCTTCTGGCTTAGCTACAGGCTTCCTGGGGTGTCCCCAGTTCGAGAGGCAGGAGTGAGTTGGGGGAGGAAGGAATAGCCCCTGGGGCCTCTGGGTGTCACACTTTGAAAGGGGCAGCCAGAGAAGGGCACTGTGATCCAAAGTCTAGCATATCCTGCACCCTAGGAGCCAGGCCTCAGTTTCCCAATCTGTGCAGGAAGGTGACAGTCCATGGCCCATTATTGGCACAGGTCTCCTTGTTCAACCACAACAGGTATCCATAAGGACCAGAGCACCCAGGGCCAGGACACTGATGTAAGGGGCGAGTGCCCAGTTCAGTCTCCCTCCTGCCCCAGTGCCGCCTTCTCTGATGCAACTTGAGGGGCCCCATTTCTCCCCATCAAGTCCATGGGGCAGGGAGGGCTGCTGTGGGTGGCACAGCGTGCCAGCTTTCTCCTCTCTGCCCACCTGGGATGGCCTGGCTGACCAGCTGACCGTGCAGGCAGCCCCGAGCTGAGAGACAGCTTGGGCAGCCGTCACGCCAGCAGCCCCGTAGAGTGGGCGCCAGGAGGCCTGCTCCTTCTGCACACAAACCCGACTCTGGACGTGCTCAGCCAGGCCCAGGCCCCTCATCACAGGCACACTGCCCAAAGAGGGCAGGGGACACAGGTCACCTTGAGACAGTGGGAGTGGAGATCCCAGGCCTTGACCACTGGGTCCCAGGGGCCATTCTGTGCCTCCCTGTCCCTCACTGGCTGATCCCTCTGAGGCGAGGCCACAGCTGCCAGCACAGGGGATGGGCTGGTTGTCCTGTTGCCATCATCCAGGGGATGAAAGGTTATGGATCAGGAGGCCTCGTCCCGAGGAGCCCAGCCTCGCAGCTCGCCAACAGCCCAGTGAAGCCCAGGTGACCCTGGAGAGGAGAGCGGAGGCCAGGACTCTGGGTTCTGAGAAAAGGAGGGCAGGGAGGGCATGCTCGGCGCCAGCCATAGAGGCCGCCCGTGTAGCTGTTGTTGTTTTTTCCAGAGATTTAGGTGAGAAGAGAGGTGGTGGCACCTCTAGAGGAACTCAGCACCCAAGGGGCATGACCTGGGTGCGTTTCTGGGTTTCCAGGAGGGTCTGTGCAGGTGGAACAGGTAGGCCCTGAGCTGGCTGCAGGGGAGAGTCCTGAGAGCTCAGCTGCAAGCTGTAGCCCAGTGGCCTGTGCACGAGGGTGCGAGTCAGGCCAACCCGTCAGGTGCACAGATGACCGTCCCCTCCGCTGGCAGCCAGGACATCGATGCCCGCCTCCTGTGGCCCTGGACTCTCTGCCCGAGGCTCTCCACGCACATCTGCTCCTCACAGCTGGTACGTATTGTGCCCAGGGCCTGTCCCACTTTCCACCCAAGAGTGGGGCATAGGGGTGGGTCACAACCCACCCACTGGGACCCACCCCACATGTTGGGGTAAACTTGGGCCTGGGGAAGTGGCTCCTGCCCCCTGAGGCAGTGACAGGGACCCCCATGGCTTTGGGGTTTGGTCCCCAATGTTGCACTGTGTCCTGAGAGCCCTTCCTCAGCCTCCTCACCTGCAGAATGGGTGGTGGAGACATCGTCTGTGGGTGCTTCTGGTACCGGTGGGGTCCTGGGGAGCAGCCTTCTCTCCTCAGCTGGTCCTGGTGCAGGATGGGGGGGGGGACCACAGCCCCTCCCTCTGCTTCCAGCCAGAGCTTGGCCATTAACCTTTGCCCACCCCACCACCTGTCACCTCCATTAATGCTGGTACATGTGTGCCAGGGATGCAGGGGCAGGGTGGACAGCGGGCCCAGGGAAGGTAGGGGTCAGTGGCTCAGTGCCCCAGGTAGGCCTGTCATCCCCTCAGTGTACATACAGCCCTCACCAGGACAGGTGTAGGAGCCAGGCCAGTCTTCACCTGCCCAACAGGCAGAGGGATGGGGGGCTGGAGCTCCCAAGCAGGGTCTGGGAGCTCCTGGGAGGAGGGGTCAGCACAGGATAACAGCCACGACTCACATTCATCCATTGACGAGCCCTGGGACACATGGCAGCCCCGAATGTCTGGAAGCCCCCTGAGCCCAGAGCATGGGTCATCCTTGCCACCTTGGCTATTCAAGGTGGCCTCAGGGACCCCTGGCTGAGGGGTGGGCCCAGGGCTTGGCTGAAAGGGGGAGGGTCACACCTGAGGCCACTGACCCCAAGAGCCCTGGGCAGCCACAGCACGGTTGAGAGAGGAGGGGCAGAGCCAGAGTGATGGGGCCGGGTGATTGTGCGGACAGGGCTGCAAGCAGGTTTGGGGGACCCCACTGCAGGCCTACAGGGAGCACATGGAGGGCTGGAAGTTCCCCAGGGATTCTGTAAGGGGGGCTGCCTGACCTGGCCCGCCCTGAAGGAGAGGGGCCCCACTGGGAGGTTTCTGATACCATGGTCCCCAGGTCTCTGTCTGCTCCCCTGGGACTGCAGACTCTCTGCGGGTGACTGGTTCCTGCCCCATGACTGCTTTGCAGGGCCTCGCCCTCCTCACACGTTCTACCCCAGACCCACTAGGTCATTGGGCACCCCGGGATAAGGTATGGGGACCCTCTGTGCTTCCCGCTGCCGTGATGGAGGAGTGAGAGGGGCTGCAGCGGGAGTGAGCTTCTGGTTATGGGAGGCATGCAAGCCAGTGCAGGGGCCTGCGGATCACCGAGGGAGCAGCCTGGCCAGGAGGGTGGGATGACAGGTTTGGGCCACTGGAGACCCCACACGGCTTTGGCAGAGCAGCGCCCCGGGCCGACAGCAACCATATGTTGGAAGAGGAGCTGTGCGTGTTGCTCTGCGGCCCCCGGGGCCTGGCCTTCCTGGGCCTGTCACAGCCGATTTTTCCTGCCTGAGTGGCAGGCTGGCCAGCGGGCGGGGTGGGTGGGGGCTGGAGAGGCTCTGCTCAGCTCGGGTCCATCCCCCACAGGTCTCAACACCGGACCTGCTGCTGGGGGTAGACCCATGTGCTGGCCCCCAACAGATCCCTGCCTGTTCCTGCTGTGGTCCTCTGCCCAGGCCCTGAGAGGAGCCCTGACGGCTGTGGGCGGGCGGCCAGGGGTGCACACGGGCTGTGCGGCCCCGGGGCAGGCGGGAGACGACCGGGAGCCTCGGCCCTGTCAGTCCAGCGCCCAGAGCTCTGCAGAGGGAGGCGGGAGGCCACGGCTAATTTGTACACTAAGTGCTTCTGACAGGGATGCCTCACAAGTGAGAACACACCACCACCCGCCCTGCCAACGGGTGGGCAGAGGCAGCCTGGGTGAGGGGCCAGGGGTGCACACAAGGCCAATTCAGCAGGCAGACAGGGAGGAGGCCAGGGACGTGGGGAAGGGGTAGGGTGGGGGGCACAGGAGGGCCCAGGGGAGGGAGGCAAGCTCAGGACCAGGAGCCACAGTAGCCAGAGGGCCAGACACTCAAGGGGCAGCGGGCTGAGGTAGGGAGCACGGTCCAACAGCGATGAGGGCCGACAGTCCCCAGGGTTCGTGCCTGCTCCCCGCTGTGGACGCTTGCTCATTCCACTCCACACCTGGCCTGGGGTCCAGGAGGCACCATGTGGTGGCTGGGGGTATGGCTGGTGAAGTCCACCCCTCAGGCTGGCCTGGCTGGTTCCCCCCATCCTTTCTCACCAGCCGCCTCCCTCAGGAGTACCCCGATCTAGGCCAAGCCCCCATCTGGGCCCCTCAATGGTCGACGCCTGCCAGCACCTCCGAGCTTGTGTCATGGTCAAGGGTCCTCCTGGAGGGACCCCCTACTCCTTGAGCACTGCGTCGTCTGTAGCTGGGGGCACCTGGCCCCGCCTTTCCCTTACCCCCGCCCTGTTGGAGCCTCCCCCTGCAAGGGAAGCGGGTGCTGGCTGGGGTGAGCCAGGGTCCCCAGGCTGGCCTAGGAGGTGAGCATATAGCCCCTGCCACACTGTGGAGATCCCTGCCTGGCCTGACACCACCAGGATATTGGGCACCCACTAGAACACAAGTGCAGGCTGCCCAGGACACCCTAGGGGCGACAGAGCTAGCTCTGTGGGGGCTCCTGAATGAATGAGGCCTGGCCCCCGCCCCACGGGAGAGGGTCCGGTGTGGCCAGCGCAGCCGCGATGGAACAGGGCGGGTGTCTTCGGGCGCAGAGGTGAGATGTGTTGTGGCAGCTCCCCCGCTGCCCGAGGCCCGCCTGGAGCGAACACTGCTGGTGGCTTTAATTGCTTTCACATTCGATAGGCTGGCCTGTGACAGGCCTCTTACACCTGCTGAGTGCCAGCCTCGGCACCCCAGCCCCCTATTTGTTCAGGGAGGGCGGCCTTGGAGCCTAGACTGAGACTGCAAACCTTACAGCAGGTTGGTGAGCTGCTTGGCATGCCTGGCCTAGGCCACCATGGAGACAGCACCTCCTAGAAGGAACTGGAGAGGACACAGGGCCGCCAGGGCCGAGCAGAGCAGACCACCACCATATGGAAACTTTTCTCCCTGTGCGGCCCTCTCGCTCCATCTGCTCCCGCCTGATGACTGATAAATTCAGACACCCCCAGATGCAAACGTCTCACCAGGAAAAGCCTTGAATATGTACTGTCCTTCTGTCTGCCTGGGGCTGAGGCTGTGTGGGGACCAGCCTGCAGACCACTGCAGGGTCTAGCCCAAGCCTCTGACCCGCGTGGACACCTGTCCCTCCTGGGGAACAGGCAGCCTGTGAGCAGGGCGCACCTAAAAGCTCCTGTGAGGCTGACCATGTATACCAGCGAGCCACCCCCATCAAGGTGCTGTCACCAGGCGGGCCTGGGTGCCCCTCAGCATGGCTCTGCACCTGGAGGGGAGGCGAGGGGCCCAGAACCCCTAAAGGAGTGACAAACAGACAAGGAGGCATCATTACAAAAGAAAACATTTCATTTGGTCCATCGGAGCCTGAGTCTGGAAACACCCATGGAGAATCACCCTGCAAGGCAGGGGACCGACTGATAAAATAGTCTCTGTGTCAGAAGAGCTGGCCATATGTACAGGGTTAAAAATATTCACAGCTCAGAGTAAAAGGGGGCAATATAAAGGAGGCCCAAAGGGGAGTGTAGTGCTTCCTGGGGTTTCTCCAGGTATAAAAACCCTGCAAGCCCCAGGGGAAATGAGGGGTGGTGAGCAGGGCCGCTTGCTGCCTGGGGGCTACGGGGCAGCGAGGCCAGGCAGGCGGCCGGAAGCTGGCCTCGGACGTCCACAGGCAGATGCAGGACTTAGAGCAGCCATGGGGGAGGATGGCCAGGAGGCAGCCCAGCTCCCTGGGCTTCGGAAGCAGGGGAGGGGCTGGGAGGGGGACCCTGCGTGTGCCTGGACAGGACTGGCCAAGGATTGCTGCTGGACCCTGGTCCTGGCAGAGGTCAGGTGGTGCTGAGGACAAACCACCTCACCAATGGCAGCTCCTGCCCGGCAGCCCCCAAGGCATGGCTTCGATCCTGGAGGGGGCTCCAGGAATTGCATAGTGTTGCCGGGGGGGCAGCTGGGACCCTTCCCGTCCCTGGTCCTGAGCCCATGGTCACCAGGCACCTGCCTCCTGGGACACACGGCTGGGGCTCCAGGGACCCCTACTTGCCTTGTGGGGGTGGGGGAGTGAGAAGGCGGGTTCCGGGGGCAAGCTGGGGAGAAAAGGCTCCTGACCTTGTGTCCCACAGAGGGGATGGTCCCTGCTCACCCTGGGGTCCCGGCCTCTGACCCCCACAATGGATTGGTCTCTGCTCACCTTGGAGTCCCGGCCTCTGACCCTCCATAAGAGGGGTGTGGTCTCTGCTTACCATGGGGTCCCAGCCTCTGAGCTGCCCAGATTTGGTTTTGTGAATGGAGCTCTTAGCTGCTTCACACGGGCAGGAGGCCCCAGGCTCATGGGAAGGGGGCAGCCTCACCTTAGCCCTGGCAGTCTGAACCCAACCTCAAGGCAGGCCGGTCAGAGGGGCTGACGCGCAGCCCCCTCACACTAGAAGCAGGTTCGAGGTATTCTGCTTGGCGGGTGGGAGGCCCTGGATAGGAGGGAGGGTGGGGGAAAGGCCCAGGGGAGGCTGTGCCCCGTGCCTGGTGGCTCCCTGGGTGGGGTCCTGAGATTCTGGTTCAAGCATCCTCTGTTGGGGTCTCCCTCCTAAAGTGCATGTGGGGGGCAGGTGGGCGAGGGCAGAGTGGTCACAATGGCCGGGGCCCATGCAGGCCAGCGACCTCAGGAGTGAGTGGGGGGCTGTGGGTACCCCTGGAGGCCGTCCAGTCGCTGAGGAAGGCCTGGGCTGCCTTGCGGTGTGCCAGACGGTGGGTGATGGAGAAGCCAGCGTTCCCCTCCAGCTGGGACAGGATCACCAGGACCTGCCTGGGGGAGGGGGCCGGTGAGAGCCAGTGGAGGCCAGGGGGGCAGGGGAATGGGGGCGGTGCCCACCTGTGCAGGGGTGGCACGCTGTCCTGAGTGCGCAGGCTGCCGCGGGTGGACACCACGTTGAAGCTGTCTGAGCAGTCGCACTGCACGTGCAGGTAGGACTTGGGGTGTCGGTTCTCCACCACCACGATGAGCCCTGCCCAGCCGTGAGTCAGGTAGTAGCAGGTCATGCCCTCGCGTCCCTGGGCACAGACAGCGCAGGTGTGGGTGGGGCAGGACCTCCTCCTGCCCCTGCCCCTCCCTCCCTGCCCACCCACCTCAGCTCCCACCTCACCTCGTGCCGCTCGCCCCGGCTCTCAGTGAGCAGGATGATGGCATCAGCAAGCGTGGTGGGCTGGGCCTCTACGGGCTCCACCATGACCAGTCTCGAGCTGTACACAGCCAGCACGTGGCCTGGGAGCTCTGGGGAGCAACACAGGACCCCCGATTAGGGACTGAAGGCTGTGAGTGAGGGGGGCCCAGGGTGCCGCGGTGGGGAGGGCCTGGGATCAGGGTGGGCGGGGGGCACCATTACCCTGAGCGGCAGCCGGGGGACCTGGCGTGGTGGGGCTCCAGTGGTTGAAGGCACAGCACACCACAGCATACTCGCCGGGCTCCAGCATTACGTCGCAGTTGACGAACTTCTTGACGGCACGCTTGCTGTGGGCCAGCAGGCGGCCCAGGCTCAGGCGGCCGCCGCTGCCAAAGGAGGCCCGAAACACCAGGACACACAGGTCCAGGAGGTGGCTGTCGGCGGAGTCCGCGCGCCTGTGGCCAGATCCGTGGAGGGTTCACCAGCAGCACATACCACCCGGGGGCCCTGCCCCCCGC